TACCGCTGTAACAGTTGACCTGGTAAGCACCCACTTTTAACAGTCGACCTGGTCTGCACCGAGAAGGCGCGGTTTTACACGGATATTTTTTGACAGGGGTAGGGCGGCACAGTCAGGCCCAGTTTGTATAAACGCAGTTTAATTTATAATTAACTAACTTTGACTTTCATTTTTTTTTGTCAGTGGATAGGTGTGATTGTAGAACGTAATTGGTCTGATCTCGCAAATTTTCTAGTTGCTTTTTTCTTACCTGTCCGGCAGAGAAGAGATCAGGGAATCCTCCAAGCGGGGCAGGCGCGGAGCACTGCAGCGTGACGGAGGGCTCCTTTAAAAACAAAAATCAGAAGAAAAAATCAGAGATCAATCACAAAGATCAATCACAAAAAACAGAAAATATCATCAAATGTGAGACAAAAATCAAGAAAAATCAGAGAAATCAGTGTACGATTGTACTCATAGCAAAGAGAACCCCTCGACCGTGACGCTGTGGCCATAGCCCAATACTGTAAGAAAAACGCACAGTATAACAATAGTCTGCCTGGAAGTGGGAATTATTAACCATTACTAGAGGATTGTGAAATTTTCATAGTATATTGTGGGGTGAAAGCACTGGAATAACAATATGAGATTGTCATTTCAAAGTACAACGCTGAATTGTACAGCAAGTGTAGCTGTAGGTTTTTCTTACAGTGAAGTGCAGTCGCGTAGTCGTATCTACTTCACGGTTCACAACGATGGGTGCCCCAACAAACTGACCAGCACTTTCGTCTCTGTTATATATACTCGTGTTTCCGGCCCGACGACCCCCGCCGCTCGGACACACACAATATAAATATTGTCCTAATATCACGGCGACACGGCGGCCTCCAGCGCGGCGCGTCGTCTTGCTTTCTCCGGCGAGACTGCTGCTTCAACCCTTCTCTAGGACCCCCACAAGTTGCCCCGTTTTCGACGACGTCCTCGCCGTCCACCGGAAGCTGCCTCTCTGCTGCACTTTTGTCACTGTCGCGGCGTGGCGCGGCGCGGCGACGATGGGCCCGTCGTCCGTGTGCCCCCTTGACGGCGAGCCAGCGGAAGTGTGTCCTCCTCGGTGTCGGAAGGAGGAGTGGGGGGGGGGGGAAGGTACTGGTAAAACAAAGGTGGAAGGACGCGCAAGGCAAGGTATGTGCCCGAGCGATGGCCCGTGTTGTAGTGTTGGGGCTTGTGTCCGTATCTTTATCTGGTCGTCGAGCTATCCTCCTCGCGACGGCCTCGCAGAGGTCAGACCCCCTGCTGGGCGTCGCATTTGAGACCCACTGACCATGGCCGCCATCCACGTCGTCAGGGTGGCCGCCTTCAACCATACCATCTGAGCAACTGTGCTGGGATGGGCAGCTTTCTGGGAAAATTAGCTTGACGCCCTTTGGTGGGAGGGCAACACGTTGTTGGGGAAAACTGTCCATAGGGCATCTTTTTCTGAGCAACAATCACTTCCGGTGAG